AATCATCATCTTGGAGAATATCCGGATCAAGTTTCAACTAACAAAGAAAGATACTAAAGGTTAGTGGGAAGATTGATCTATTTGTCACATACTCGACCAGACATTGCTTATGCAGTGAGTGTTGTCAGTCAATTTATGCACTCTCCAAGTGAAGACCACATGAATGCAGTTATTCGGATACTTAGATATTTGAAGTCTGCACCTGGAAAAGGACTTATGTTTTCAAAACATGGTCATCTAAATATTAATGGTTATTCAGATGCAGATTGGGCAAGTAATGTAACATATAGAAAATCCACATCGGGTTACTTCACATTTGTGGGAGGTAATTTGGTGACATGGAGGAGCAAGAAACAGAATGTAGTAGCTTTATCCAGTGCAGAAGCCGAGTTCAGAGGCATGACTAAAGGGATTTGTGAACTTCTTTGGTTAAGAAAGTTGCTTACTGAACCCGTATAAACCTACATCTACAATGAATCTCTTTTGTGACAACAAGGCTGCTATAGCCATTGCACAGAATCCGGTTCTGCATGATCGTACTAAACATGTTGAGGTGGATCGACACTTCATCAAACAGAAGCTTGAGGCTAAAGTGTTTCAGTTTCCTTTTGTGAAATCCGAGGATCAATTGGCGGATATTTTGACAAAGGCGATTTCCAGTAAAGCATTCCACAATTCACTGGATCAGTTGAGCATTGGTGACATCTATGCACCAACGTGAGGGGGAGTGTTGGCGTGACTTGTGGATATTGACTTACTTTCCTTACACACCAAGAATTCCTATTATAATTATAATTGATTTACTTTAATTCTTGATTTCCTATTGTAAATAGATTTAGGAATTTATTATTTACTTGCCCATTCAGGTTTCGTTGTATTATAAATATGACCTCCTACAAGGAGAAGAATACATAGAAAATTCCCACAAACAAATATTCTCTTATAGTTTTCATATTTTAGCAGTTTGCCTGTGAATGAAGAAGAAAAAAAAATGTTTAAGAAGCTCTTTCTCTTTGCAGGGCTTTCACAGCAGTTGAACTGAGAAAGAAACTACATGGAAATAACTTTAAACTCTAGATACCGTTGAGGCAGTGATAAATGACTTCATTAGCAGGTACATCTAGTCCTGAGAATGTCTTGTGTTGAGAGTGCTCATCAGCCAATTATCTGGAAATAACCATGTTTGAAAACTCCACATGCTTGAGTAATTATTCCACAATAAGCTTAGAAACTGGTTCTACATGCAATGCAAGTTGTAAGACGGATTCAGTTACTACTCAAAAGATGTACAAGAAAAATGGATTACAAAGATCTGGAAGTATTATTTACAATTCTATAAAAAAAATTGTGGTCCTATACTTAAAAGTCTGGTAGACCGTAGTGAATTAGTTTTGCTGACTAACAATCATGTCAATGGTTATTGTCAATTTTCATATCTCATTAGCAAGAGGCTGAAACTTTTCAATTGTAACACCGCAGGGGATTTCTCAGCACCCGGATATACCTTCCCATTCTTTTCTTGTTCTAGATGGTCTTCCTTAAGTTGGGGACCATACTATTTTTCAGTATAATAGAAATTTGTTAGATTGAAATGTTGAAGGACTCAGATTGTCATGTTAATCCTTGTTTTTCCACGGTGCAGCCTGATTTAAGAAAGAGTAGCTAGTTTTCATATTTTAGCAAATCTCTCCTCCTCCTCTTTGTTCTTGTTCTATTTGAAGACAGTCCTGACGAGCTTTCCAAGTAGATTCGTCAATTCTTCTGCTTACGAAGTAACAGGAGTAGCCATACCGGGAAATTGCAAAGAAACCAAAGTGAGCTCACCAACGGCAACAATCACTGTTTTTGTAACTCCACTTCTTGAGCGCTTTGGTGGTTTCCGAAGTCCACAATACCCCTAAGGTAAACCTCCTTGTCGTTGTCATCTTCATCGATCTCCTGCTCTGCCTTTTCCACTGTGGTTGGTTTGTTTTCCAAGTCCACACCACCGACGGGGTCTGGGGCCTCAACGTCACAATTCTCATGAGCATCAATCCCCTGTTCATTTCCATTGTTGGCAGATTTTCGTGATTTGTCATTGCAATAAAAGTACGAGGAGATGCACAAGTAATAAATTAGGTTAACAAGACTTAGGTAAGTCAATAGCTCCAAAAAACGATCCAGGCGACTCTCATTTATGTTGTGACGGAACCAACTTCGCCTAAACAATATTATGGTAGAAGCTGTAATTAATTTTCCAACACCAAGGATGAGGTCAGAGATGTGGGATGCATAATAAGTGGCCCTTAGTGCATCATTGTTAACAATTCGATCAGCAAGGAAATCAGTCAATCCTTTTAGGGCTAGCCCATCCATTACTCCCAACAGGAAGAACTGTGGAAGTAACCACGAAATGCTCATAGGAATAGTCTTAGACGAGTCATCTTCAAGCCCTTCTTCATTGCTAATTGCCTTCAACCTCTTTCCCCCACCCGGCCAAGCAGCAACGCAACATAGCACAGAACAAGCCAATCCGCAGCCAATTCTCACCAGCGTAAGCGTACCCGTAGCCTTTCTCCAGTGCTTTGGAATCAGTAACTTGTACAAAAATGAGATTAAGAAACTTGAGAAGCCCCTAAGTACGGTGAAATATAATTGAAGGAACTCGATTGACCCAATCTTGCTATCCAAATTACTCATTTGTTCAAAAAAGAAGGTGCTCCCTGTTGCCTCCACCAAACTGTACGAGAAGAAGGCCGACCACATAGCTATCACTTCTGTGAAAAAACCCTTTTCGTCCTTCAGTTTTATGAGTGGCCAAAACTTTTTTCTTTGTGCTTCTTCTGGTGAATACGAGGAGGACGAGGTCCCTCTTGTGACTATGCAAATCTCTCCTCCTCCTCTTTGTTTTTGTTCTATTTGAAGATAGTCCTGACGAGCTTTCCAAGTAGATTCGTCAATTCTTCTGCTTACGAAGTAACAGGAGTAGCCATACAAGAACACAAAACTAGCGACTCCCACTAAAATTGCTGAAATCATGAACGTAATTTTCCAGGACCCAGTTGGAAGTAAAACAGCTAACAATGCACCTAAAAACCAGGGATGGTGCCACAAAGCTTCTTTACGAGTTTCCAGTCGTTTTAAATAATTTTCTTCTCTGGACGTTCTTTCTTTCTGTTCACTAAAATATTGATCCTCAAGAAATTCCTGCAAGGTAGCCGATCGACCAGCTTCCCCTAATACTATCAGTGGCGCTGCTCCATAGTAGACCTTAGCCTCAGTATGTGTGCTCATAAACTGAGAACAAATCCACAATAGAAGCAGTCCCTGTATGTGCATATATATATATATTATATATGCAACAAATTAACATATATATATGTAGGCAGCAAATACAACTGTATGCATATACAATCGAGTTTTAGAGATTTCTTTTATTTAAAATTTTACATTTTTGCAAAGATACGCACACATGGAGATTAAGTGACAGGCGATCCAAGATTAAATTGTAATGCAAGAAGACTTACAAGAAAATAAGCAGCATTTGTGGACGCAATCGTTTTAAAACGAGCCATGTGTGTGCCTGATATATGAGCAAGAACAATCACCATGATGCCCGATACCCCTTCTTGAGCATTTGTAACTAGGGCAGCCATTTCAAAATGTGTAGTACTCCAATTATCCGTGAGGTACGTTATCAAGATATACACTAACGCGTGGTTTATGAAGCTATGGCTGAAAACCAGAACTATATATATATATATATATGCCATCACAAAGCAACAGAAGAAATCAGTAACTAAGTTGGTTTGGAAGAAGTATATAAGATAAAATTCAGTGAATGAGTGCATGTTAATTCAACAGGGATGAATCACCTCGGATACGATTAGTAGCCTCGGAAAAGTAGCAGTAGTTTCCAATCCAGTTTCTCACTGAGACAATGCATGGATAGAGAAGAATGTTGCGATGACCCCACTCAATCCCTGTTTGAGTCACATTTTGAAGCCTCTTTATTGACTCAGCTTTGAAGAATCCTGTCATGGCAAGCAAAACCTGCAATCGTAGCTTCCAAAATGCATAATATAAACTAGTGAATGTATAGGTTATATGTATGTGAGTTCAAACTTCAAATAGAATAGATTACTATTAGAAATATATATATATTGTCGTATTAATCATAATTATTTATTTTGACCCAAAGTTCAGAAATTAAACTATAAACCTTAAGCAATGAGAGATTCTACAAAGGGTAGACGTGGGTTGAATCCTCATTTTCGTAGATTAGATTAATTTAATATAATTTAGATTATTACTTATATAAAATAAAATAAAAATTAAACCTAACAAAGGAGTATATTAGATTACTAAAGAAAAATACAAAATGAAGTCCAGATGGCTAGGATCACTGATCAAAGAGAGTAATTCAAATATGTTGAAAAGCATGGAAAAGACAAAACGAGCATGGCATTTGTAAAGTATCAATACAGTTACCAAAAAAAAAAAAACTTGTTCCTAGAGAAGGACTAGAAGCAAAGATGCGTACCTCCAATCCAATGTTTACCAGACTCTCTCCACTACTGTTTACTGAGAGAGAAGAGAGAGAGAGAGGACGAAAGTGAAGATGAGGAGAAGAAACATTTGCTCTCTATATGAGAAATTTGAAACGAAAAGTTGTTACCTAGTCTTCTCTCTCAAGTCTTCTCTTCAAGTCTTCTCTTCTTTGTCTTTTCTTTTTCATTATAAATATGAGGAATGAATGAGGCACAGGCATTCAGAAAGTGCATATTTCTTTTTAACCTTATTGTTAACCCTGTTATTTATATAACTTTACTACAATATTATCCTCTCGACTTCTTGACTGACAAGGTAGAATACTGGGCAATAACAGATTTCTAGTGTGAACAGAGTCGAAATTTAGTGGTGATGCATATACGTTTAAAGCAGTGGCACATGTTGTAATTTTTAAGGACATTAATCCTTAAACAATAATCTAGCTGGCGGGCTGCAATTATTGATGGGTTGAATAGGAAAAAAATGTGTCTATACTAAAAGGACAATGCTTGGGTCCTGATCCTCCGCAACTGACGTGGCTTCCTTAAAATACACTCTCTTACCGGCGATGCTCTAAAGACCTGTTTTGATAACTATTTTAATTTTAGTTTTTAGTTTTTATTTTTTGTAATATAGCATAGAGAAAAAAAAGGAAGAATAGAATATTTATCTTAAAAGTGAAAACAAAAGTTCTCTATATGATATTTTTATGGAGTGGTGATTTCCCTATTCCAATTTTATCCACTTACACTCCATTTTATAACTTAAAAAGGAGTGTAAGTAGAGTGGTGAAATTATTACCCTTTTTTTGTTTACTGAAATATTGATCGTCAAGAAATTCCTTCAAGGTAGCCGATCGACTAGCTTCTCCTATTCCTATCAGTACCGCTGCTCCATAGTATACCTTAGCCTCAGTTTGTGCGCTCACAAACTTAGAACAAATCCACAATAGAAGCAGTCCCTGCATATATGTATGCAACTAATTAAAATATAAAAGGTTTTTTTTGCAAAGGTACGCATATATGGATGCGAGATTGAATTGTAATGGCCCACACTAAGCTTAATTTTAAGTTTTAATGCAACAAGACTTAAAAGAAAATAAGCGGCATTTGTAGAGACAATCATTTTAAAACGGGTCATGTGCGTGTCTGATATACGAGCAAGAACAATCACCATGATGACTGATACGCCTTCCTGGACATTTGTAACTAGAGCAGCCATTGCAAAATTGCTAGTACGCCAATTCTCAATGAGGTACGTTATTAAGATAGACACTAACGCATTGTTTACGTAGCTGTGGCTGAATACCAGACCTACATATATATAAAATTTCATATCACAAAGCAACAGAAGAAGTCAGAAACATACAGTCGTTGGTTTCAATTCCAAAACCTACTCGAATGAAGTAACGTTAGATAAACTCAAAATTCAGTGAATTCGACAGTGGTGAATCACCTCTGATGGGTGTAGTAGCCTTGGAAAAGTAGAAGATTTCCAAGCCACTTTCTCACTGAATCAATGCATTGGCAGGGAAGGATGTTGCAACGACCCCAGATAAGCCCTAAGCGAATCGTACTTTGAAGCCTCACTATTGAGTCCGCTCTGTAAAATCCTCTCATGGCAGGCAAAACCTGCAATCATAGATTCCAAAATGCATTAATTATATGAATTAGCTAGTGAATGCATAGGTTAAGATACACTCTTGCCTCATTCGCTCAACGTATTAAGTTAAAACACAACATATCCTGCCATAACATAAAAATATGACAATATGTATTTCTAATAGTTACTCAATTTGAAATTTGAATTCACATACATATATTTTGTAACCTAACTACTAGAAACAATAATTATTGCTAAAACATATGATCGATTTTCATCTAGTTTAAATCACTCATCTTTAATATTTCATTTTTATAGTAAAATAACATATATTCATTTTCACCCAAAATTCGGAATCAAACTATATTTTAAACTAAGCGATGACCCAAAGTTCAGAAATTAAACTATAAACCTTAAGCAATGAGAGATATCATGACAAAGCTGCATATACACTAAGGGCTTGTTTGATAACCATTTCAATTTTAGTTTTTAGTTTTCATTTTCATTTTATGTGCTAAAGTATAGATAAAAATAAGAGTAAGAATGAGAGTTAGGAGGAGACTGAGAGAGGATATATGGGAGGGGAGGACGAGAAGGAGAAGTAACAAAAGTGAAAACAAAAACTTGAAAGTGAAAACAATCTCATCTCCTCTCATATTCACTCTCAATCCCATCTTCACACTTCCATTCTCCTTATTTTTCTTCTATACTCTAGCAAAAAAAAAGAACTAAAACTAAAATTGAAATAGTTATTACTACAGAAAAATACACAATGTAGTTCAGAACAGATAAACATGGAAAACGCAAACGAACATTAATTCTTAAAGTAAAAATACATATATTTATGTTCCGAGAGAGACTAGATGCAGATCTAGAGATACCTACCTCCAAGATTTACCCGACTCTCTCCACTTGTGTATTGTCTGGAAGAGTGAGTACATATGGACTGGATATAGAGAAAAGGAGAGAAAAGAGGATGAAGGTGAAGGTGAAGGTGAAGGGGAGTACTGATATAGTGAGCCTCCTCAGTTTTTTGTTTCCCCCTATTTTATCAGTTTTTTGTTTCCCCCTATTTCATACTAGTGGTGCTCTCCCCCCCGCTTTGGAGCGGGTCAATGAATGAAGCATGATTTCGACCAGAAAGGGGAGGAGAAGATGCAGGGAGTTTCCCCTCTCTTTGCCCTTTTTGTTTCGGAAAGCGTTTGCAATGGTATGTTACATTATTATATTTGCATCGCCAGAAAAATGGCACAAAGCCACTGTTGCTGCTCATCGCCATTGATTGTCACCAAACGGACGCGCAATGGTTGAACAAAACAAGTTTTACCAACGTTGTAGTTGACCTGTGGCTTATATGGAGTTGGGCGCCATTTGTTTTTTCCTGCGGACGAAGGGACGAAGAACATTTGTCATTTTCAAACATTTGCAAGGACCCTTTCTTCTGTTTCCTTTCCTTTTAGAAAAGTAATATTCGTCTTCTTTGTCATTTTCTTCAAAAGAAACAAAAAAGAGCCCCAAATGAAACAGTCCCCATGACGTAAGCATAGGCAGCGACTTCGTGAGCCGCCCTATTGCAGTTACGCAGTGTGTAGGAAAGTCACCTGCTGTCTGAAATGGTTTCTCGACCGTAGACCGCCCCACTGTCTGAAACCAACTTTCGGTTGTTCGTCTCTCAGTACCATATATGCTTGCAAGATTTTAGTATGTTATGAAGGAATTTCTAACATATCGCAATCCTGGCCCACTTTTCCTCCCGCCTAAGGGTAAAAAGTTTGGACATATCCCCCATATGCTCCAATCGTCTTGCCGAGTTGGTTGCCTGAGAATGATGTCAACTACTTGGTAGCAAATTTGAGGTACATCTTTTAGGCCACAGTTGGGATCCCTGAGTGTACGTATATTGTAGCCTTGAAAAATACAGGTAATTTTTGCACCACTTGGTCACTTTATATAATTGAATCACTTTATAGCATTGGGTCGTTCGTCCGTCTTTCTCAAAACTTAACAAAACTTTCTGCTATGTGAAGCGTTTTATAATGGAAGGACCTTAAATGACCTAATTTGACTATCCAAATTACTCAGTCCATATACTCTGGGTATTCTAGTGAATTGCAGCGATGAGTCTGCATTTAAATTCAAAAAAATTATGCACGTTATGTCTAGGTGCAGCTTCCAGATATCCACAACAGAATCTGATCACGATCTCCCGATGAGGAAGAGGTGCTATATCAAGTGATGTGTATTGAAACCAGGACTAGCACTGAAAGAAACCTCAGAAACGGAAGAAACAGATGTAGAAATAGAAACAACTTCCGAAATGAAGGGGACTAAACAGGAACAAGAGGGATCCACCGAAGAAGATCCTTCCCCTTCCCTTTTTTCGGAAGAAAAGGAGGATCCGTACAAAATCGATGAAACGAAAGAGATACGAGTTAATGGAAAGGAAAAAACAAAGGATCATTTCCACTTTAAAGAGACACACGCTATAAAAATAGACCCGTTTATGAAACTTATTATCTGGATGGGAATCAAGAACAAGAAAATTCAAAGTTAGAAATATTTAAAAAAAACGATCTCTTCTGGTTTGATAGGAAACAGCAGTGTCAAAGCTTTGGCGTTATTCATTGTTTCAGTATGTAAAATTGATCACTCAATCTAAGTACATTTCCAAACTCCAAATTTTTGTGGGCTAGACATTGCCTTCAACTTCAACCTAACCTCTTGAGTACGTTTGGGGATGTTTGGTATTCTATTTGAATTCATTCTATTTGAATTCAACTTTTTAAAGTTAAAAATAGAATTTGATCAAAAAATCTGTTTGATAGGCCTAGTTTTGAAAACATCAATCCAAAAAATACCCAAATACTTGAAAATATTAAAAAAACAAT